TCTCTAACAAGCGTGGTTAATGCTCAAACCTTCTCCATGTGAGATAGGATGATGATGATGTTTTAAAGCATATATTTATATATTTTATGGTTAAATAATTATGTCAACTAATAGTATAGTTTCCGAATGTATACAATGACTCGTAATTTTTTTAAATTGCCTACAACAAACGCTAGTCGAGGGTTAAATCACAAAAGTAATAATAGTAAAGTATTGTTCGCTGCAAATAATTAAATATAAGTATACCACAAGTTTCCGTTGTCATTAATTACGTTACGTGTCTATAATTGGATATTATGAATTATTAAATTTAACTAGTTATTTTGTATTTTTAGGTAGAGCCAAGCTGTGGTAAAGTTACTACAGCTCGAACATGGGCTGGCTCGACCGGGGAAGTACCACCCTCTCACAGAAGATCGGCGTGAAGTAGCCTTTAGTGCTTGCGTTTCGTCTGATGAGTGAGAGTGACGGTTGCCCTTTCCATATTCCCACCTTTTTTAAATTATTTCCTTATTCCCACCTCACCTTAAAAGAGATGTTGCGGATGTCCATGGGCGACGGTCACTACTGCCCATCAAATAGATCTTCTGCTCGTTTGCCACATTTGACAAAAATTATATATACGAGTATGTCCACGAGTTGTTCGTGAGGAACATGTTGATATTTAATCATTATTATTAATAAAAAAACAATTAATCCTACAAGAAAAATAACCTAAGTCACTCCTTATTTCACCATCTATCTTCTAGCGAAAGGAACTTCAAAATCGGTCCAGCCGTTTCAGAGATTAGTCGACATAAACAAACATGCATATTTACAAAAATTATTCTGGTATACTCGTACATACCGTATATACCTCCAACTGTACTTAGTTAAAATATACGTTAGTTTATTATCACATAAAACCCATAAACTTTATTTATTTGTTTTATTAAGTTTTAGTATTTCCATTAAGATTTATATATTTATATTAAGATATATTTATATTAAGATCATTTATATATTTATTATTTATATTAAGCATTTTTTTCATATAATATTCTAATTGTAACCTCTCCTATTTTGAAGTCATAAAAAGTCATATGATCTTAAAAATAGACAAAAGAGTCGCAATGCGAAATCAAATACATAAATCATAAATTTAATCTGTGCTCCCTCATACAATATGTATAGTGTATACCAATAATATATTCATTCAAATATATACCTTATTACCTTGTAATAGAGTTCACAATATCAAGGGTGTAAACACCAAAATTACAGGTCCAAAAGTAATTTCACGCCAGCTGACATTCGTTTAAAAAAAATAATATCCCGCTTGTAATGATCTGCTATACAATTGTTTTTTAATTTACGAATTAATAAAATGTTGGCGGTTTTTTTTTTGTGTTTTGTTTCATTTAATATGTAGGAATTGTATTTCGTACTTTTATAAACATATTGTGGATAAATATTTTAATGTAACATGACATTGACGTATACTAATTCTTTTGTACCACAGATAATAATTGTAAATTATTAAAGATGAAAAAATATATGAATGGAAGTTGTTAATATTATAAATGACTTGTATTTTAAGTAAAATATAATATTAGTTTGTTACATGAAAGTCGTGGAAAAATTAAAAAAAATATTCTTACAATTACTTCATGAGACCATCTAGAAAATCATTATTTTTGTAATACTAACTAAATTTCAATTATTAATTATTTTGTACGCATTCAATGTCATTTATAATCTGTACAGATTTGGAGAAATAATAAATACATAATAACATATACCACACCTTAGAAAGATCTAAATATTATTTGATTTCTCTATTTGACAGTACAATAATATAATTTTTTGTGTATGAGATCATAAATATGGAATTCTTTAATGGTATTAACAAGCTGTCATGACAATTATTTATAAATATGATCATATAACTAAATAATTTCATCATAAGCTGAGTAATTGAGGATTACAACTAAAAAGGTCGTATCAATTATTAAAAATCTTATATTGGAATAAAAGAACAAGCTGTATGTATTTCACCTTAGCTATTAAAGGAAGTAACTTTAAAAAAAAACCACTTGATCTAATCCTCTTCAAATGTTAAACTACTTATATTTTTAAGTTCTTAAATCTATGTACAAACATCCTTTTTAATGTTTTATATTGTAGTGGTGGGAACAGAAATGTAATCTGCTTCTGTCAGTGGACTCAACCCATTTGACCGCGGCCACTAATCAAATGTTGTACAACCTTGTAAACTTTGAGTAATATGACGCACGAAAACGTAATATATAATTAAAGGATTAAATAGATAATAAGTATAATAGAATATTAATACCAATCCACCATTTTCTTCATTTATTTAAATTAATTGCGTATATAAAAATACAATTAAATAAATTTATGTAACCATCATGAATAATTAAATTTCAGTATCTACTATAAGTAAATATGAATAACGTAAATTGATTTATTCTTAATTACAAAAATCTATAAAATACGAGTCTATAACAAACAATTCAAAAAAAACAAGCAATAAAATTAACGAATTACTCAAATAATTTATAATCGTAAAATTTACGGATAGTTTAAATAATATTTATAGAATTGTTATTATTAATAAATTTACTGGAATAATATTTGAAATAATATGATTAACTCGATCATATTATTAAATATTTATATATATTTTAAAATTTTAAATATTTTCTTGACGTGTCTGTCAGATTGCACTAACAGTTGTCACAAGTCGTATGTCAAGCATGTGTCATGTATAATTTTCAATATACTTTTAACCGTGTGCAAAAAAAAATGAATTGCATTCGTAAAATATAATGACTTATCAATAATACGGTCACGATTTCTATACTTCTTTTGTCTTCGTTTTGATTTATATATATATTGTTAAGATCGGATACAAGAATCAGAATTGAAGAATAAAAACCTGTCCAACAAATAATTGAATATCGTTTCATACTACATATTTTTGATATACAGGGTGACTGGTGAATTACTATCAATATTTAAGGAGCATACTCGGTACATGATTCTCATTCGAATTATGTAAAAAAAATTGGTACTTAATTTTTGACCAAATTTCCGTATAAATAAATAAAGTGTGTACACGTTCCAAGTGTTCCAAGTGTGGACGTGTGCGGCGGCGTGCTGATACAACACTACGCCGCCGCCGCGTCTGTGTGAGTGTGTGTGTATACCTAATCTGTAGGGTGTTCATACGATGCGTAATTAATTACATAACTTTTGGTTAACTTTACTTAGAAGTTTATTAATATTTATGTTATATTAATTTTTATTTTGTCATATATGATCGTCATATATCACGTCCTCAAATATCGATAGTAATTCACCAGTCACCCTGTATAGGTACATATATAGAAAATTTTTGATGCTCTAAGCAATATATTTTGTTCTCTTAATACAAAACTTTGACATCCCTACTAATATTATAAATGCGAAAATAACTCTGTCTGTCTGTTACGCTTTCACGTCTAAACCACTGAACTGATTTTAATGAAATTTGGTACAGAGATGGAGTTGACCTTGAGAAAGAACATAGGATAGTTTTTATCCCAGACTTTTGAAAGGTTCTCTTACAAACGCGATATAACCGAACACCACGCGGGCGAAGCTGCGGGCGGAAAGCTAGTTGGCATAATATTTTAGTATCAATGAGGACATAGTCCATACCATAGAAAAAAAAACACTTGTCAATATAAAAAATCCTACATAAATCCACTTTATTATTTAATCGTAATTCTATTTCAACTTAATCCTGTACATCAGAGCGTATTGGAGTTATAAAAGTCTGGTTTTACTTAAAATACAATATATATTAGCATATTGCATTCTAAAAGGCGTCTACTTACACATTCTGTGAGAATCTAGCCGTGGCCGATTGACACGCGCTGCGTGGGAAACCTTGTGATGTTTTACAGAGAATTATATCATTTGTAAGTAAATCAGGGTTTATAGCCTGGGGATATCGTGTTGTTGTATGTTTTTAAAGAATACACCATCATTATATTGCATATCCAAGTCTCTTTCGTTTTCAATAATTTGCATATATTATCGTAACGTCAAATTATTTGTCCAACAAAACGAAGAAGAATGACGGATTATTGTTCTGTAGTTCTAAATATTATCTATAATAAATATGAGACCCTTAAATTTTATTTATTTTCTTCGTATATTTATATTAAATAATCCTTTAAACAATTATTTGTTAAGCAATAATGATTATGACAGTACAGTGTTAGCACGGGTAGCATATTACGTCATCTTTATACAAGCAATTAGACTTCGCAGGTACTATTGTTTACATATAAACGTTTTTTTATAATTAACCGATTTAAATCTAACGTTTATTATTATTATTATTCATTAACAAATTTTAAGCAATAATACCAAACTTTTTGTACGTCATTTATCTGATGTATTTTTATTTTTTATCTTTTGCAGTAGAAATTCATTCGCGTATTTTTTTTTTCATAAATAAAACGTAAAACTTTCTATACATTTCAAAATTCACAATGAATATGTAATTTTATGTAATAAATCGTCGCTGTAAGCCCGGCTTCCACAATGGGCAGTAAAAGTACTCTCTTTTATATTGTAAGCTTTATTTCAATATGAATTGGGCTATTCAAATGTAATTGTAAAGTTATTTTCATTTTTAAGCATCACTAGCGGCTAGCTATCAGTGATTTTGTATTATCTTATATGACTCACATAATTTTTTTGTCAAGAACATTCTAAGGTCATTGGAGTAATTTATCTTTATGTTGTAGTTTTATTAAAAGAACAATAACAATAAAATTTATGATATAAGTACATACATTAATAACCAGATAAGTACCTTTTATAATAAAATTTCGCTACCGATGGTATTCACGAGTAATAAATAAATTAAGTAATATTTCAGCAAGTGATATTGTTATTTTCTCCCCTTTTACGTAGCACCTGTATCCCGATGTTAAAAAAAAATGCGTCCTTGGAACATATTGTTGTACGGTTCGCGCCAAGTGACTGCCAAAATCGGCGCACGGAATACGCATGCGCGGGAAACATGGCGTCAGTCTCGCTCGGTCGGCAAACGCGCGCGCACGCCGCTTGATTTTAGGTTAGAATTGGCGGGTTTTGTTCGCCAGGTGCTTTACGCCCCCGCCGTATCCCCCTCTCGCTCAGCGACAGCTGTTTCGTCTCGGGAGATTAGTCAGATGTTCTGAACCAGTCGCTACTCGTACTCACCTGAATATTGACATCAAGTATGGCAGCGGGCGGACGCACACCGAAACAGCGGAGATTGGAAATGTCCTCGATACTTAGGAATGCGAATGCAACTAGAAGAAGGCGCGGGAGCTGCAAGTGTCTGTTCGGAGCTCCGGACAGAGATGAAACGAGACGGCTCATGGCGGAGCAGTACGCGAGGGATAGAAAACGATTCATCAAGCGGTTCAACTTCGACGTCGAGACGGAGTGCTCATATAAAGCCGGGAAAATGGATTCGCCTGTGAAATTCTGTGAGGATAAAGAGAATGAGAGTCCACGGACCGGTGCTGAGGCTTTAGCGTGCGTTGAGAACACAGATTTGATGCTTGGTTCGCCGTCGCGAAGAAGCGGTAACTCGCCTAGGACGCCTACTAGGACGCCTAGAACGCCTAGGACTCCTAGGGCGTCTAGAACACCACGAACGCCTCGTACACCAGCCTCAAGACGGCAGCTGCAAATGACAGGTTAGTCTTTTCTACACAATGAATTCAATACGACGATTCTCATTTTAAAAATGTACATGAAAATTTAATACTTTTAAAATATTCCCTTCTGATACACTTAGGATACAATACAATTGAGTGCATAATGAAAAAAAAACTGCCATGAAGCAGGTGTACAAACTCCCGCGCCGTTTATTAGTATTCGTACCGAGTCTTTTATGAGATCACATAAGTATATAAGCTTAAAACTAAAACCATTTTTATATATAATAAATATATTATTTTCACAACTAAACCGAGCTTTATATAATGCAATATAAAACGAGACTAATCCGAACAAAAAAAAAAGGTTATTGTACGCAACGATATGCATCTAGATAGAAAATAAATCTAGATTCTAGACCGGTCATCATTGTCTACGTATCTGTATATTAAATATCAAACAAATAATAAATTAAATATTAGAAGCGATTCTGTAATCAATATTAAATATTAGAACCGGTTCTGTAATCAATATTAAATATTCTTTATAGGAAGTGTTAAAGGAAACAGTTCTTCCTTTAGTGATTCTCAAAAACTCAAGTTCAATACCCTAACGTCATTAACACCATAACATTTTTTGTTCCATCTAATTCCCATATTTTTTATATTCTACTCGCTCGAAGCAACTTTCTACTATACAGGGTGTTCATTATAGGTACGATGTTATTGAACTTGAGATAAAAAACTACTAAAGCTACAGTCAGCTACTGAGATGTTATTACGATCTACTAATAAAATTGGTTTGATTGAGACGTAATGGAACATATAAAATAAATACTTTTTAATGGGAATCATTTTTACGTAGTTTTTATATTGAAAATTAATATGCTGAACGCGTTTTGATGTAACTTAACAAAAATCTGAGTTAATATGGATATAAAATTACATTAATTTTTATTAGAAAATCTTTAACATAGTATATGTATATAAACACCATGTATAATATTTTTTGTTATTCCTATAATACTAATTAATTCAGATGTCAATATAGTCTAGGTCCTAGTGTAAATCAAGTTTTATTTAGACTACCTCAGGTCTAAGCTAGACGGGGTCATTGCACTACAGCGTCTATCTGTTGCATCAACACGTGGCAATAAACTAAACTTAATTTACTGAAATATAACAAAAAAACATATATTTTTCATATAATATATGTTCAATAATACATATGATATTTAAATGCAATGATAGGGTTGAATGACCTTCAAAAATTTATCCGCATCGATTGAATACCTTTAAGGTATAACAATTATATATTATAACATTAATCAATACTAATATTATAAATGCGAAAGTAACTCTGTCTGTATGTCTGTTACGCTTTCACGCCTAAACCACTGAACTGATTTTAATGAAATTTGGCACAGATATAGAGTTGAAGACTTTTAGAAAGAATATAGGATAGTTTTTATCCCAGACTTAAAAGGTTCTCTTGGAAACGCGATATAACCGAACAACACGCGGGCGAAGCTGCGGTCGGAAAGCTAATATACTGAATATTTCCAATATTTTTACGTGATCGCAATATTTTTACAAAAAAAAAATCTAGATATTTTATCAATATATTCGGCCATTTCGTATCAATTGTTGTTTAACCTACATTTCGATAAATCCAGACAAAATGACGACTGAGTACTATAGTTGCCAGGGTGACAATGCTTTCTAGGCACTCCAATACACCATAAAACAAATTTTTAAAGGAGAAAATTGGATAATATTCTAGTACCAAAAACATGAAACGCATGGTCACTATACGATAGTACGTCAAAGTTAATATTTGTTATAGATAAGGATAGTGGGTTAGATTCCTGGGTGCGGACACTTGACATATTTTATTTGTTTGTTTGTTTTTGCTCGTTTAATGTGATTTTATATATGGATTCACTGGCGAAAAATTATATAATATACAAATAAAATAAGGTATAAATAAAGAAAACGACTGTTAATGAAGTTTGAGTATATACAAAGAAACGAAATCAATAAAAATATGCTTTTAAGTATTAATTTCATACTGTAATTATACATATATGTATATATATAATACTAATATTAGTTAAGGCTACGTGGTAAGTGGTTTAGGTATTTTTTCGTAACCACAAACATGTCCATACATGAGTCAGGTGCTGACTCACTCAAGCAGGAGGTGTGGTTGAAAAACATTACCTACTTTTTTTTAACATCGTCAATCGCTTTAGGTAGAAAAAGGTATATGTACCTATATGTATATCTCAAAATATTTTTCTTTAAACTATCATAAAAACTTTAATATGTTAACATTTAACTTGTATTTACATTACTGATACTTGTTACTCAGCTAACCTTTCGAAACCTGTACAAATAATAACATATATACATTAGCTAACTAATTTGTATCAACTAGAATTATATATAAAAAAAATTAAATGATATACATTTTTTAAATTTCAACACAGGATGCTGGAAATTATCCCGAGAATTTGAACATTCCTAAGAATTGCGTGTTGAAACACTATTCAAAAATATCTTCAAAGTAATTTGATAGTAATTTACCTTGTTTCAATCTATCTATAGAGTAACAAATTTCCCTAACAATATCCCAAAACAAAGGTCATTAACCTTACGTACAGACGCTTCCTATTGTTCCATTGTTTCCTTAAGTTTCGGTGTTAATATATATATAGATAATATTTCTATCGGGACCATTGTGGTGTATTCTTGTCCTAGTTGCATTACCCGGTCACGACTTCGATTCCCGGTCGTGACGTATATGTATTCTAGACCAAGTTATATAAATATCTAATGTATACAACAACATGCGGGTAGTATTGTAATTTATCTCCAAAACTCAACGGAATGGAAACTGAATTAAAATTCCCCAGCCACCATCCGTAACGAAGCACCAACCGTGACGATGGGGTACCGTGGTCTATGGGAGAATTATCTAACACTTGAAAAATATATATAAATATTATTCCCTATACAACTCAACCTTGGCCGGTTTGACAGTAGAAAATTAAAAAAAAAAACAGTGACGTCACTAATAATGATAATGATAATCTATAAACTTTTAGTCTGTATAAATAAAACTGGCCATTAATTTTACGATGCCATACGTATTTTTTTTTTTTTAAATAAAAAGATATTTACATTCATCCGAATATAGATTTGCAATAAATGGCTGAATGCAATAATCATTTGACACCTCCGTCCCGGGTTACAGAGGATTGAACTTTCAATATGAATTTAATTTGCCTGTGTTTTTTTTCCAAACATGTTTTTGCAAGACGCCCGTTCATTGTACATGTATGTATTACGAATATTAAATTTGAATATCGAACGTAATGATGTTCTAAATTTGAAATATTTTTCGTCACATGCCCATCGGCGAATGGAATCCGTGTTCCAATTTCGAATTTATATTAACACGTGATGGTACGCACGCGAAAGTTTTAAAACACATCAAAACATTCCTAGACCAGACTTTGTCTTATTGCATTGGGAATAAAGCCTAAAATGGCATGCCATAAATAAATTATATGTCTGCCATTTTGTTTGTAACAGAACTTAATTCATTATTTACTCCAATGATTATTGTCATACCTTTTAGAGAAGCAATTGAAATCTTTTTATCAGCAACAAAGTAATGAATCAATTAATATTATTTACATAGTAATTTTTAATTTATTTTAGAATTAAATATTTAAATAAAAAGGACGTCAATTGATTAAATTTTGATATATAGAGAGTGTATTGATTAATTTTACAGACATTTAAAGTGTAGTGCAATTTACTTGTGCATTGTAAGTTCATTGGTCGTGCGTGCCCTGATAATGCATTTCGCTTATTCGATAACAAACGAAAATATTATTGAGTTTACAGTATTGGTAATATTAAGAAAACAATATATTTAAATATCAGATATTATATTTATATTGAAATAAAAAAATTATCTTCCATAATTACTATCTACGTCTATAATCTTTGATTAAAATTCTTGTATTTATAAAAAAATAAATATATACATATAGCACTAAGTATATATAATTCCACGTATTAAATAGATTATCTTTTAAGAACATTATAAATAATATCTCAAGAGTTAAGATACAATTAAATAAGCCAAAGTATGTATGTCCTGTTACTATCAGAAGTTACTAAACGAGGTCGTTGACCCTAACGGTATGCAAAGCTTGTTGGTAAACATCCAACAGGATTTATCTATGCAAATTATATAATAATAAATAATTATTATATATTAAAATGTTCAAATTAATTAATATATTAATGAAAAAGAAATAAAATCTTTTTTATCTTAACGCCAAGCATGTACCGTGCAGTGAGTTTAAAAATAAACAAATGTATTCTAATTTATTGTATGCTTATTCTCGATTCAGGGTTGACTTAAAGTTTAAATATTAAGTATAATGATTTCTCAACTTTCATAAATCCAACACTCGCATTTCTAAGAAGCTATCCTTTTGTTATTATTCGAGGAAATTAAATTTCGTAACTCATAAAACATGACACAATAATAATATGCATGATATACATAAATCGAGATAAACAATTCAATTTTCAAACAAACTCGGTAAACCACACAAAAAATAAAAAACTCATCCCAACAATGTAAGCGCGTAACTCAGGTAGCTGTCCAATAAAACCTCTTCGGTTGTAACCTTTTTGTGATGACGTCACAACCGGTTCGCTCCTGACTCGTTAGATATAATATATAGAATAACCAATATTAAGTTAATACATATATGTATATAGTAACAATGAATTTACACTAGACGCGTCGTTTACCGCCATTTTTAAGACGCCATTTTGAATTTGAATTTTACGTATATTTAGTTTTTGTATTTTACGACATATTGACATTTATGTGTGTTTATGTTATTATATTTTTTGAATATTATTTTTTATGTTGTTTTTTTTTATTTACAGATTACTGGACCCTAAGGAAACATGGTGACTCAGGTTCAAGCGACAAAGAGAATTAGTTATATATAGTTAAGTTCTAAATTATTATAGAGAAGCAATTTATCGATATATTTAATATTATTATAAGTATAGCTTCAATTTTTTTTTTTGTATTACATTTAGTTCGGTTTCAAGACCGTGTATGTTCCTTTTATAAATGTACCA